GTTAATTTACGCTTTCAAGCTTAATACATGAGAGGATCCCAAATATTTCTACATTTTCTAAAGAAAAATCACTATAAAGTCTTAAAAATATAAATGATATATATATATATATATATGTCGGTTTGGTTCGAATTTTTTTACTCAATACCAAACCAAATCAAACCAAACCTAGTCGGGTTTTTTAATCGGTTTGGTTTGACTTTTCGGTTTGGTGCGGTTTTCCGGTTCAGTATGTACAGTTCCTGGTGGAGATAGTATCACTGACTATGATATGCTTAAAAACTTTTCATAACGTTTCATGCCTCCAATATGGTCCTGCAACAACAGTATCGAGAGAAAGGTTTCAAGAAGTACTCTGAGCTGACTTCTTTTCTCTTTGTGGCTGAACGAAACAATGAATTGCTCATGAGAAATCATGATAATCGACCCACTTGGAATACACTATTGCATGAAGTGAATGAGGTGTATTCCCGTTATGTTAAGCGTGAAAAAAATCGTGGCCCTGTTTGTGGTCGTGGTCATGGTCGTGGTCGTGGCCAAGGAAGAAATTTCCTTGGTGTTAATCATCCCCAAAGAAAAATAACCACCAAAAGTGCAAAAAGGAAATATGAAAAGCTAAATGCAAAGAGTTCAGAAACTGAATGATATCGTTGCGGTGGAAAGGGGCATTGGGCAAATAGTTGTGGTACACCAAGACATTTTGTTGAGTTTTATCAAGCATCTTTAAAGAATAAAGACCTTGAAGCTAATTCTGTCTCTAACAATGAATTTGACATCGCCAAGACAAACCTTTTTGATCACCCAAATGAAAAAATAGACCATTTGATCGATGATGGATCCATAATTAAAGAAGATTGAGTAGTTTAATTTTAATTTTTGCTTATTCGTATTAGCTAGTAATAAACATCATGTAATTATCGTAATTTACATGAATAGTAGTTTCACAATTAGTGTTAATCAGTATGTCGAATTAGTATAATACTTCATTGAATAAAGTAATTGGTTTTAGTTTGTTTGTTATTCGCTAACAGATGCAATACGGCAAGGTTAAAATTTAGCCTCCAAAGTTTATTGACTTTATGAATATTGATCTTATTTAATGACCAACAAGAATCTATGGTTTTTTTTACTTTGCTTTCAGGAAAAAGAGGTAAAGGTTTACCTACTGTTTACTTCATTTATTGACCATGTTACTTTTGAGGTAACATTTAAGCTCGTACTCTTAGTACATCATCTGATTTACTTTTATATACCACTGTTTGCTAAAACTTTTCCGTATTTTAAATAGGATTGGTTTTAAGTGAAGTGGTACCGTACGGAACTTTTGAACCGAAATGCGGTATTTGTTTTCTAATTAAGTTGTTCAATCAAAGAAAGTGTCATACTAAAAGTTCGAAGTAGTGATTATCGACATATTAAATGAATATATCATTGCGCATATATTTAATAGATTTCGGTCCGCAATGTTTTCTTACTGTGTAAGTGCATCACTATATTTGTTTTAGCTACGTAATTGTTTGTATCATAATAGAGTTTGCTTGAAATTGTATTAAAAAATTATTATTGATCATTAGTTTAACTTTATTTTTTTTCTTTTTTTTTGAAAATATTAATATTTATTCGTATATTTCTTTTGTATGTTAAATCATGGGAAGCAAACTTGGATCAAAATTCAATTATAAAAATATTTGTTTAATTGATTCATGTATGACACGTACAATATTCAAAGAGAAAAAAATATTTCTCTCATTTAAATATGTGTAAGGCAAATGTTACTACAATTTTTGGTGGTAGTAATTTAACTGAAGGCTTTGGAAGAGCTACTATAACTTTACCGGAGGGAATAATATTTATCATAGACAATGTAATATTCTCCTCCAAGTCTAGGAGGAACTTGTTGAGTTTTAAAGATATCCGCCAAAATGGATATCATATTGAGACAATAGATGAGAATAATCTTGAATATCTCATCGTTACCAAGAATGTCTCTGGCCAGAAAGGGTTATTGAGAAGTTCTATCTCTGTCTTATGGCATGTATTGGACAAGAGTGAATACAATTGAGGCACATTCTATCGTAAACCAAAAGGCTATTGATTCCAATACTTTTATACTTTGACATGATCGATTGGGACATCCTTGTCACGACCCCAAATCCCCTCTGTATGATGTCATGACGGCACCTAGTCTGTAAGACTAGGTAAGCCTAACAATATGCGGAAACATCAAATAAAAACTGAAATTTCAAAACTTCAACAATTTCATCAATAGACTATAAGCTCAATACGTATAATTTCCCAAAATCCGGTGAGATATAAATCACAAGCTCTAGATACAATGCTGAACAATCTTATACATCACTGTCTACAAAAATATAAAGGAACAAGATAAAAGCAGACTTCAAGGCATGCAGACGCGAGCAGGTGTACCTTGAAGTATCCAAAGCAGCAACACATCGCACTAATATCAAGGCTGATAGGATGTACCTGGATCTGCACAAAACATGTGTAGAAGCGTAGTATGAGTACACGACAACGGTACCCAATAAGTGTCAAGCCTAACATCGGTAGAGTAGTGACGAGGTCGGGTCAAGGCCCTACTGGAGATAATAAGAAACAAGACAAAAGATATAATGATATAATGAAAATGACAGGAAAGTGAACAATAAAGAATTTACGGGAAATTACAACACGGAATCAAGGAAAGCTAATACAACACGAAAGGAAAATAAGAACTTTACATGTTAAGGAAACAAGAACCAAACAATACAGCAGATAAAGAAGATCAACTGGGGCACTCCCGAGGTACCGCCTCGTAGTCTCAAATCGTAAAAACAAATCATAGTCTTTCCTTATATCACCGCGGGAGCCTTTATATTTGGTTTTAAAAATTATTTTTCCGAAATAGCATCCCACGTTTTAGCCCACCTTATCACACCGCATGGCTTCTAGTAGTTTCCCTACTAGCCACGCGTATCAAGCCCACTGTATCTCACTGCATGCGTTTCAATACCCAAACCTTATACCACCACATGCGTATCAATAATCACGATGACACGACAGAAACCTCATGCAAACAATAACAACTGCATGGCAGAAATCTCGTGCAAACAACCAAACAATCACCTCAACAATAATACGAAAGCCAAAATACAACAACTATGATATTTCACAACTTACACCATGCCTCAAAAGAACCACAACCTTGCAATTCAATGCCAAACTCAACAACAAGATATTTCAAGGATAGCAATTTCAAGTAAAGAATTTCACAGTTAAGTAATGAATACAGAAATCAAGAAAAGCAAGTAATTCAACTAAACATGTGTTACAAGTTGCAAATAGAAGATAAGACAAGTAGACATGTGAAATTAGGCTAAACATAATGACTACAACATGCTAGGTAACTCAATTAAGGCA